TGGGTTAGGACATAGGGTGTTTTCCTTGCTGTCCTTTCATGATCCTGCATCCATGACTCGGCAAGTGTCCAAAGACAGCAGGGCCATCTGCACATATTCACAATTGATACTTCCTATGCTGTCTCCTAATTCCAGGTCAACAGAACAACAATCAATTGAGTATTTTTTTTCCCTCTCACAATAGAACTGGACATGATGGAGGTGTATGTCTACCCTCCTTGCTGTCTCTTATGGTGTAGCTTTCAGTAATGAAAGGATTGCAGTGCTACCTGATTGGTCATGGCCATTGATTACTCAAAATTTAGTCGATATATGTTAAGATATTTGAATTTAATAGCTGGAGCAATGGGGTTGGGCAGGGAGCCAGAACACAGAGTTGTGATTGATTGGTTGGAAAGTGATGGCTCCTGTGTGAGGCAATCTATGCTGTGATTGGTTGCTATGGGTGCGGAGGGGGAGTTTCCCTTTTTCCCCATCTTTTTCTTCTGTGTGCCCTGTATTTAGATTTACCTCATGATGTTCCTGTTTGCCTATCTGGTTTGCTGTATATGTGTAAAAAACATATTTATTTATATAAAACTACAAGTTCGTGTCAGCATCTCCGACTTCATTTGGGTACCTGCTGTGCAATTCCCTGACTCTATCTATCTATCTATCTATCTATCTATCTATCTATCTATCTATCTATCTCTATCTACATAAAACAAATAAATAAATAAAATTTCCTCCAGACAATTATGCAATTTGATGCTCAATTGATATTTTCAAGCTCCATCACACCTGAATTCCATGTCTGTTGCTGTCCAAACCATCAGTGAACACCTAGAGGCAAACAAAGTCATTACCAAAATACACGCAAAGAAGTACGGCTTCCCTTGATCTTGGCTTAGCCTGTTGTGTGAACGTAGCCCTCTTATATTTTTGAATTGTGATTTAGATTTTAATACGCAAATTTCATCAACTGATGTTTATTATTATGATTGTAAGCTATCCAGGTTTACCTTGAGGTAAGATGGTCAGCCTATAAATTTTATTAAAAAAAATTAAAGTAGGATTTTAAAAAATCATGACTTAGCACAATGTGTGATTACAATCCCTAGATGCAAAGAGAACGTCAGCTAAAAGAATTATATGTTTACTTAACTGCATCTTCCAGGTGTCCATAACTAATATGTGGACTTTGTGGATTAAGCCAAAGAAACATTTTCAACTAAATGTCTATGGAGATTCTCAGTCATCCAGGACATGATTTTCCCAAAGGTGCTTTTTCAAGAAGCAACTGGACTTCCTTTGTTTTTCCTTGAAGACATTTCGCTTCTCATCCGAGAAGCTTCTTCAGTTCATTCAGTTCAGTTCAACTGAAGAAGCTTCTCGGATGAGAGGCAAAACATCTTCAAGGAAAAACAAATCCAGTTGCCTCTTGAAAAAAAAACTTTTTCAGCCTCCTATTGCTCCACGTTTGTGTGGAGCAGCTCATGAAGAAGACCTGGCTTTAACTTCTGAATACATGTGGGTGTACCCAGGCCTGTTTATGTAAGAGAAGAAGTAGATAGGAAGAAAACAATGAGGGGGGGAGGAGTGTTGAACTTTTTTTTTCTTCCACATTTTGAAATCTTACAGAGAAATAGAGAGGAACTGTAACCATTTCCTATTTTTTTCATTGTCTTCTCTGTTTGAGGAAGAATGGGAGAATGACTTTTGGAAAGCAGTGAGTGATGTCACTTCCTTTGTTGTTGCTTGTAAGTTGCTTTGAATAGTGTTGTAATCATTTTTTTTTTAAAAAAAACTCTTCACAACAGAGATGTGCCAATAATGAGTTTTGCTCTTTTCTTATTTTCCTCAAAACTTACCTTTTACTTTTTCTAAGATAATAATTTGGTATCACGAAGGACCGTTTTGCCTGCTCGATTGTGGTACAACCACTTGAGTGTAAACTACAGTGGTTTCCATCAGCTCTACTTAACCATCATCCCAATTTGATAAATACATACCTTCTTAGGAAACCCTACAAAGAATAAGCATTTTGGAGCTTTTGCAAGACTTTGGGTTACCTCTTTTCTACTGTTATCAGAAGTATTTACTGGGGTTGGACTGTTTTAAAATATTTCTACCTGGAAATAGCACTCTAAGCACATTTGATACGTACTAACCTTTAATAAATTTAATCATTGGTAGATGTTGGAAAACAGCCCTTTCATTTTATAAAGAGGAAATTGGAAGTAGAACTGGTCCAAACAATTCTACTCCTTGAGTAAAAAATCCTTTCCCCCTGCTTCCATAAATTAAGTAGTCATGTTACTTTGGAATCTTTGTTAGAAAAATCCACAGTCATCTCATCAGTGATGTTTCGTGTGATAAAGGTGCTCACAAGGTCATCATTTTGATATCAAAAGTCAGAAGGCTGGAACAAGACTTTTCAGTTTCAATGGTTTTAGAAAGGACAAATTTAGAAAGATAGTGCTATTAATACCTATGAACCACAATGTACTATATAATACTTTTAAGATCACAGGGTGACTGTATATTTCTCAGTACTTCTCCCTAATGTCTTCTAAAGCATTAGGTTGATCATTGTAGGAACCAGGAAACTAGAAGTCTAAACTAGATGAGCTTTGATCTGATCAAGTCCAGCACTTATGCTTTTAGATTGTTGCACTATCTTCTCAAATTCTCCTATCGCTAAATTCCAAATGTCCCTTCAGGCAGTAATGAAACAAAAATAAATACAGCCAGCTATTATCCAAGGAATGACAATAGTGGGTTGGGTATTTCTTCCAATTATGAAAAAAGGGAGCTGAGGAATGCAATCTAACAAAGAAGTTCTGAATTCCGGAGATTGTTACTTTTTTAATTAGTGGTCTGCTAGAAAAGGCTGTGACTAATTACAGCATTAGTACAGAATGAATTCCAGCAGTATCTTTCCATAAAGTGCATGTCTACTCCTTTTCTATCATATTTACACAAAATGCTCAGAAGAATACACAAAAGTGATCATATGCTCTCACCACTCATAGCATGATGGGTGAAGGTGATCAAAATGTCTTATCCAAGCCCGTATCAGTGATTGAACTTTTGAATCCATGCTTTCCCAGCCAATACAGGTAGTCCTTGACTTACAATCACAATCGAGCCCAAAATTTATGTTGCTGAGACATTTGTTAAGTGACTTTTCCCCCACTTTACGACTTTTCTTGTCACAGTTAAGTGAATCACTGCAGTTATTAAGTTAGTCACCTGGTTGTTAAGTGAATCTGGCTTCCCCATTGACTTTGCTTGTCAAAAGGTTGCAAAAGGGGATCACATGACCCCAAAACACTGCAACTGTCATAAATATGACTCAGTTGCCAAGCGCCTAAATTTTCATCACGGGACCGTGGGAATGCTGCAACGATCGTAAGTATGAAAAGTCGTAAGTCACTTTTTTCAGTGCCATTTTAACTTCAAACTAAATGAAGTGTTGTAAGTTGGGGACTACCTTTTAATATGGCCACCTCATTGACTATGAAGACATCAGCAAACTGGGAAAGTGTAGAGTAGAGTAGAGTAGAGTAGAGTAGAGTAGAGTAGAGTAGAGTAGAGTAGAGTAGAGTAGAGTACGGTAGAGGTCCCCAACCTTTTGGGCACCAGGGACCGGTTCTGTGGAGACAGGTTTTTCCGTGGGTTTTGTGTGCTGCCTGAATCCTGCGGCTAGAGCTTTGCTGGCAAGCCGCGATCCGGTTCTGGTCCACAGACCAGGATTTGGGGACCCCTGGAGTAGAGTACAGTAAAAGAGTAGAGTACAGTGGAGAGTGGAGTGGAGTGGAGTGGAGTGGAGTAGAGTACAGTAGAGTACAGTAGAGTACAGTAGAGTACAGTAGAGTACAGTAGAGTACAGTAGAGTGATGGAAGTGAAGGGCTTAGGGACTAAATCAGAGGTGGGGAATTATGGTTCCTTTATGATTTATGGACCAACGCCCAGAATTCCTGAGCCAACCATGCTGAGTCAGTAATTCTGGGAGTTGAAGTCCATAGGTCATAAAAGGGCCATGGTTCCCCATCCCTGAAGTAAATCATAAGAATAAACTAAAGCAACTGGGTATGTTTAGGCTAAAGAAGAGAAAGATAAGGAGAGATTTTTCCAATATTATATTTAAAGGGTTGACACAGGAAAAAAGGGGGGGTGAATTTATTCTCCATCCCTCTGCAGAATAGGACAAACACAATGCATGGAAGCTTTATAGAGAAAAATCCAGACCTGAAATAAGAAGGAATTTCCTGACCCCAAGAGACATTAACCAATAGAACAGCCTGTCTTCCGGCATCATGGAGGTTCCATCAGGCTTTAAATTGGACAATTATTTGTCTGAGATGCTATTACGTTTCTTCCCACGGGCAAATGGTTGGGTTATTATTATTTATGAGACTTATATACCGCTTTAAGTGCAAGCACTCTCTAAGCGGTGTACATCAGTAAGCAATGTATATATATATTACATTGCCCCCAACAATCTGGGTCCTCATTTTACCTACCTCGGAAGGATGGAAGGCTGAGTCAACCTTGAGCCGGTGAGATTTGAACCACTGACCTGCTGAACACAGTCAGCTAAAGTGGCCTGCAGTACTGCTCTCTAACTGCTGCGCCACCTCGGCTCTTAGAAGCTTTTCATGGTCCTTTCTAGCATCACGATTGTATGACTCTATGATTCTACGTGTTGTGAGAAAATATCCCAGTTCTTCACTTCTTGTACTCCCTGCAAACACCCCAAACATTTGTAAACCATGGCCGGAGACCAGAAGGAGGGAACCTCCAGAAGATGTATGAATATATACTAAAAGTGCCTAAACAACACAGATAGTCCTCAACTTATGACCACAACTGACCACCCAAAATTTCTGTTGCTAAGCAAGGAAGCTGTTAAGCGAGTTTTGCCCCATTTTATGACTTTTCTCGCCACGGTTGTTAAGCGAATCCCTGCAGTTGTTAAATTAGTAACAGGGCTGTTAAGTGAATCTGACTTCCCCGTTGACTTTGCTCGTCAGAAGTTCACAAAAGGTGATCATAATGACCCCCGGGACACTGCAAAGGTCGTAAATAGGAGTCAGTGGCCAAGCATTTGAATTTCAATCATGTGACCATGGAGATGCGGCAATGGTTGTACATGTGAAAGAGGGTGATAAGTCACTTTTCCCCATGCCATCAAAGTTACAATGGCATGGGTAAAAGTGACTTATCACCCTCTTTGAACTTAACTTCAAACTGCCACTGAACAAACTGTTGTAAGTCGAGGACTACCTGTATAGCTGTAGAATTGGGCTTCTCAAGAAGGAAAATGTTAGCACAAGAGCCTTGCCATCCATTTGGAACACCCAAAGCTTCTGTCCCTTGGCCGACTCCCTTATTCCAAGTCACATGAAGCTGATTCAGCTTCTACAAAAACCTGGTCATCCCTCACCCCATCCTCTACCCCACTGTCCTCTTTTTGCTGGTGACTGCCAAAATCTTCCTCGCTGGGATCTTCTTTCAGCACAGCCACTGTAGCGTAGTCACTGTTCTGAGCATCCAGGTTGGCTCCCCCATCACACTGACCTCTGCCGAAGGCCGGGAGGTTTTGTAATTCGGCATAATGCAAATCGGCTTCGCAGGTGTTTTCTGACGCATTCTGGGGAATGGGGAAAGGATGGAGAGACAGTTTGGTGCTAGCTAGAAAATCATTGCAGTTGAGTAAATCAGTTTGTGAATTTCTCTTCTGCTCCATGCAGAGGCTCTCCAAAGGGATGCCTGAAAATTCAAAATGGCAAGCCAGGCTGTACGATTGAAGCGCTACCTCTCTCTCTCTCTCTTTTTTTAATCTGCATCTCCACTCATATAAAATGAGGTGGGGCTTTGATCACAGAATCAAAGAAGGAACATCTTGTCTTCTGGAGTTGTGGGTGCCCCATCACTGGAGGCATTTGAAATGGGACAACTATTTGCCTGAAATGGTCTAGGGTTGCCTGTTTGAGCAGGGGGTTGGACTAGAAGACCTCCAAGGTCCCTTCCAGCTCTGCTACTCTGTTCATTTTGGCTGCCAATTTGACTTTTCTGAGCCACCCACCCCTTGGTTGATGCTCCTGCTGTCATGTTCCCTTTCTTCCCTCAGTATAAACTCTTTGAACAAGGAGAACTCCAACTTCCAAATTTGCTCCACTCCCACTGCTGGCTGAACTCCTTTCTCCTGGTTAAACCCAAGCTGTTGATGCAAAGACCTCCACTCTTCTTTCCTTCAGCCCTTTTCAGATTCTGGCCTTCTTTGTCCCCCAATCCCATGGCCTTCTTTTCACCTTATGTACCTCTCACTGAAATGGCCCAGGTCCATCTCTACCATTTGGCTAACTGAGATGGTGGCTGGTGTATCCATGACCTGTGGCGGCACAGTGGTTAGAATAGAGTATTGCAGGCTAACTCTGCCCACAACCAGGAGTTCAATCCTGACTGGCTCAAGGTTGATTCAGCCTTCCAGCTTTCAAGATCAGTAACATGAGTATCCATATTGTTGGGGGCAATATGCCAACATTGGAAACTACCCAGAAAGTTCTGTAAAGCACTATGGGCTGGCATATGTCTAAATACTATTGCTAGTGCTAGTGCTATCTGTGGGGACAATAAAAACAGCCTCCATTTATTCATTTTCTTCTGTTGGAGGACAGAATTATCTCTGCACTTCTGAAGGGTCTTTCTTCCAAGTCTGCTGAAAGATGCTGTCCCCTCACACCAATGTTTTAATATGTTTGGTACATGAATAAGAGGGACACCATCTTATCTTTCACAACCCCAACTAAATGTTTGGGAGAACTCAACCTACAGATAATTCCTGGTAGCTTTTGGAGGCCCTCAAAGAGTTGGATGTTCCCTTGAGCAGAAGAATGTTGACATTCTCAGTGTGGATTTGTGTGAGATCTTGAGCAGGGTGGGGAAGATTATCCAATTCCTGCAAAGTGTCATGCACTTCATTTAATTTTTTAAAAAAACACATTTTTTTCATCCACCGCAATATGCAACTTTCTGCTTGGAAATATTTTTGATTTTCCTTTGGATCAAAGGAATCTGTTGCAGTTAGGTTTAAATCTCCCTTCTTTTTATTGCTGCAACAGAAAACCTGTGGGATTGGCTTGGCTGAGGGCCAATGCTTAAAGCAGGGGTCTTCAAACTTGGCCCTTTTATGACTTGTGGATTTCAACTCCCAGAATTCCTCAGCCAGGCATGCTTAAAATCACCCTGTGAGTTTTTGCAACTGAAAGTCAAATTTAATCTGGGACTTCAGGCATCTGCATCCATTAACCAGCCCAAGGTGCAGAACAGGAAGAACAGAAACCCTTAGGTGATGCCAAAACTGGGGCAAAATCCAACCTTAGATTTTCCTCAAAGTTCCCCCGTTTTCATCATCACCAGCTTCATCAACATTAAATTTATACACCACCCCACACTGACAGGGATAAGGAGCATTCTTCAAATTTTTCATTAACTTTAGAGAAGTGGGATGCCAAAAAGTTTTCAAAATCTTTCAGATACCACACTTCCTCTTCTGCCCATCTGGCTCTTAAATCCCTCTAAACGTACCAGTGACATTCTTCGCTTCTTCACTGCAAAGACAAAAAGGTGGTGGAAAAAAAAACAGTATTACTCTGATTAGAATTCGGGTGTCTTTCAGCTACGGATAGCAAAGCTGTTGTGTTATCAAAGGTTATCAGAAGACCCAGTTATTTACATGTATAGGTGAGAAATTTTAGATTAGTTGAGTGCAATCTGCCACACCTACTATTTTTGCTTTGGAAATGCATTTCTAACCCCAATTAGCTTCATCAGGAATATACTGAAGGTTTTTTTTTTTAAAAAAAAAATAGATATTGAAGTGACTTCCAGCTATTATGAAAAGCAGTTGCCTTCGAATCTAGAGGAATATTAACTTGCCTTCTTTTATACAGTTTTAAATATATTAAAATATAACTTCCGCAATATAATTTTCCGCCATGACTTATTACATCTACTTCCAATTATCAGCAATACAGGTAGTCCTCAAGTTACGGCTGCAACTGAACCCAAAACTTCTGATGCTAAGTGAGATAGTAATTTTTGCACCATTTTTCAACCTTTCTTGTCACAGTTGTTAAGCGAATCACTGCAATCGTTATGTTAGCAACATGGTTGTAAAGTGAATCTGACTTCCCCATTGACTTCGCTTATCAGAAGGTCATAAAAGGGGATCACATGACTCCAGTGCATGAAACTGTCATAAATATGAGTCAGTTGCCAAGCATCTGAATTTTGAATCACTTGACCATGGAGATGCTGCATTAGTCATAAAAATGGTCGTAAGTCACTTTTTTCAGTGCCATTGTAACTTTGAATGGTCACTGAATGAATCAAGGACTACCTGTATACCTCCTTTTGGGATACGTCAATCACAGATAAAAGAGGCAGGATGTGCAGATTTTTAAGTGGGACAAACGGATGCAAGCAGATTCTACTTCATGTGAGGATCTGGGCTATGACAGACTTTTGTGAATCCTGGCATTTTTCAGGATAAAATATCAACAGATTTCCTTTACATTGTCTAGACCAGTGATGGCGAACCTTTTAGAGACCGAGTGCCCAAAAACTGGCCCTGCCCCCACTCCAACCCCCTACCCCACCCCCACTCTGTCCCCCCATCCCCTGCCCTGCCTGCCCACTCACTGCCTCCAAGGCCCACCGCAGATCACCCAGGCAGCCCAGCAGCACTATGGCGACCACACCCTCTGCCCATGCCCTGCAGCATCAACTGCATGATGGGGTATGAGGGCAGAGTCTTGTCTACGCTGCCTGGCTGCCATGTCCTTGGCTGCGCTGCTCCGTGTGGGCCACGCTCAGGGGTGATTCTCCTTAAGGGGGGTTGCTGGAGAGGAGGGGTGAGGCAAGGCTGGGGCAACGGCACGTGTGCCCACAGAGAGGGCTCCAAGTGCCGCCTCTGGCACCCTTGCTTCGCCACCACTGGTCTAGACTCAGTGTTTCTCAACTTTGGCAACTAATTCTGAGAGTTGAAGTCCACAGATCTTAATTTTGCCAAGGTTGAGAAACACTGGCACAGAATCATAAAATTTGAATGAACCATCTAGATCAAGAGGTGGGAGTGATGGGTCCTTTATGACTTGTGGACTTCAACTCCCAGAATTCCTGAGCCAGCATAGTTGGCCCAGGAATTCTGAGAGTTGAAGTCCACAAGTCATAAAAGGGCCATTGTTCCTCACCCCTGATTTACGGGTGTCCAGTCTTTTGGCTTGCTTGGGCCTCATCAAGTGAAGAGGAATTGCCTTAGGTTACATATAAAATACTGTATATAATGTAGTCAATGGATATAAATAACAAACTTCCTTTATTTTTAAATATTTTTATTATATCTTAAGGGGCCGCATTACTAGCTGTACAGAGCTGCATGCAGCCCATGGGCCATGGATTGGACATGCCTAATCTAAATCACCAAGCCCGATTGAGTGCAGTTCAGATGTTGAGAATGAGAATTTGTAATCCTTTCGTGTTTTCCAATCATTTTTCACATTTTTTTTTCTTATTAAAAATCTTTCAGGAGAGAATGACACATTTATCTCAATGGTGCTAGAAATCTTTTTATCTGGTGCACATCAGTTTTCTGATTCCAAAGTATCCTGATGAAAGAAAACTGTTCCAGTTTGGGCTATTATTTTTTTCACGGAGGGCTCCATGAAAAAAACCCTGGTTCCATTTTTATTTTATTTTTTTTAGAAAAACTTAAAAAAGGGGGTTCAGGACAGAAAAAGAACAAGAGAGGTCTCGTTGTGGTCACTGATCAGTGAAAAAAACAAGTGTTCTGCATTTTAAAAGATTTTATCCCTAATCTGGTCATATTTAAAGAGTTCCCCCCCCCCAATAAAAGAGAAATCTTGGACTGTGCTGAGATGGACAAATTAACAAAAGAGATAAAAGAAAAGGAAGGCACAGAGTACTATCTAACATGGAACAAGTGGTATGACTGGTGGGAGACTAGAAATAATAGAGGAGAATAAATATGGAAAGGTCAAAAGTGAAAATATGTGTATAATAATGTATAATAATAATAATATGAATTATTCTTAGTAAGAAGTAGAGTATGAAGGAAGAAAAATGTAAACAAGAAACAATGGGGCAATAAGGACAAATATTCTAAAGAAGAATAAGGAGGAGAAATGTAAATAATAGAAGATTAACGTTACGTAATCGCTGTTAAAAAAAGGGGAGGAGTATATAATGTGTATGTATGTGTGTTATGTTTTGTTTTGTTTTGGTTGGTTGGTTTAAAAATTATATATATAAAGAGATACTCACCTCTTTTACAGACCCGGCAAAGACATATGGAGAGGACCACAATTGCCAGCAGCATCAAGAAGACAACCACAGCTGCTACAAGCATTGCCCAGTCAGGAATATAACATCCTACAAGTAGATTCACAGGAAAGATGTCAATGAGCAATTTGGTTCGTTTGTCTCCATCGCTATATCTATTGTAACCCATTCATTCATTCATTCACTTTATATGACTGCCCAAATTGAAAGAAAAGCTCTGGGCGACTTATAATTTAAAAATGAAATTAAATTAAATGTTACGTTATGCTTTGCTTTTCTATCTCCTTGTGACATAAAATAAGAACAAAATTTTGGCCGAGCTAACAAATTATTCATTCAGAGGTCTCGCGTTCTATATGGGCTCATCCCAGGGTCTGAGCCCATTTTGGGGGCAAGAGTCAGATTATTCAGGTCTTGTGAAAGAAGAGAAGGTTTAGGCCCTTTGAATTTCAGGAGAATGATGCAAGAGAGCAGGTATGCCCTTTGGGTTCTGCTGGGTGGTTTTGTTTCATCAAAGGAATCCAAAACTCAAGTTAGTCCTTGATTTTCAACAGTTCATTCAGGGACCATTCAAAGTTACTTATGACCATTTTTCACACTTGCAATTATTGGATAGATAAGATAACCTTGGTTGTCATTTTTTTTTTTACTATGGGCACATTGGCACACATTAAAAATGAAATTTAGTTGCTTGCTCTCAAAGTGTATACATACATAACACAATTTTAAACATACTATAATAATAATGATAATAAAAACTGCATCCAAGAAATTAAAAGACGCTTGCTCCTGGGGAGGAAAGCTATGGCAAATCTAGACAGCATATTAAAAAGCAGAGACATCACCCTGCCAACAAAAGTATGTAAAGTCAAGGCCATGATTTTCCCACTTGCAATTTATGGCTGTGAAAGTTGGACCATAAGAAAGACTGAGCGACAAAGAATTGAGGCCTTTGAACTATGGTGCTGGAGAAGATTCCTGTGAGTCCCCTGGACTGCAAGGCGATCAAACCGGTCAGTCCTAGGGGAGATCAATCCTGTTGCCCTTTAGAAGGCCAGATCCTGAAGTTGAAACTCAAATACTTTGGCCACCTAATGAGAAGGAAGGACTCACTGGAGAAGAGCCTGATGCTGGGAAAGATTGAGGGCAATAGAAGAAGGGGACGACAGAGAATGAGATGGCTGGATGGAGTCACTGAAGCAGTAGGTGTGAACTTAAATGGACTCCAGAAGATGGTAGAGGACAGGAAGGCCTGGAGGAACATTGTCCATGGGGTCGCGACGGGTCGGACACGACTTCGCAACTAACAACAATGTTGGAAGGGACCTTGGAGGTCATCTAGTCCAAACCCCATACCATTTCTGACAAATGGCTGTCCAGTCTCTTCTTTAAAACTTCCAGTGTTGGAGAATTCACAGCTTCTGGAGGCAGGTTGTTCCACTGATTAATTGTTCTAATGGTCAGGAAGTTTCTCCTTAGTTCTAGTTTGTTTCTCTCCTTGATTAGTCTCCATCCACTGCTTCTTGTCCTGCCTTCAGGAGTTTTGGAGAATAGCTTGGCTCTCTCTTCTTTGTAGCAACCCCTGAGATATTGGAACACTGCTATCATGTCCCCCCTCATCCTTCTCTATACAACATATATATAAACCTACACCCTTACATATAAATAACATATAAATATTCAGTGCTTTTTTGTAAGAAAAAAGGTGCTAGAACTCAGCCCCCCTCCCAGCAGGCCATTCCTTGATCGGCAACCTTTCACTCCCCTCCCGAGCCGGACTGCCATACTAAGGTGGATGGGGTAGGTCTGGTCCCCCTCTGCCATTTTGGAGCCGGGGGAGTGACGGTGAACGGCTCCGCTGCTACTCTGCGCCGCTGGAGGGGCTTTCTTTAAGCTTCGTCCCGCAGATTACCTGCCCAGACACAGTCGCCACCTCCTTCTCCTCCACCAACTCTTCCGTGTCTTGCGCCATGACTGAGCCGCACAAGCCTCTCCCACTGCCTCCCTCCGCCAGTCCTTTGTCACCTGTCTCACGGAGAACGGAGAACACAGCACAGGGATGCAGAGCAGAGAACAGCACTTGCTTGCTGACCTGCATTGCCCCACATCTCCCTTCTCCCTTCTGGAAATGGCAGCCCCGTTTCCTGCCGCTTCTCCTCCCGGCGCAGTTCCTCCCTCTTCCCAAAAGCATTTCTTTGCTAACCTGCTTTCCAGCTCCGGCATGGTTCTCTTCTGCTGCATGGAAACGGAGTTTGTGGGACTAAAAAAAGTTCAGTCAGACTTTCCAACTCCATGTGAGATTTTTTTTCCCCCCACAAGAAGTTGGAAGGTCTGACTGAACTTTTTTTAGTCCCACAAACTCCGTTGAAAAAAGGTGCCAGAACGCCGTTCCGTGTGTTCTATGACAAAAAAAGCCCTGTAAATATTCATCCCTGTCCATCTTGAATACATAACGGAAAGAAGATCATCCTCATGCAGCATCCCCATGGTCACATGATCAATATTTGGGCAATATTTGACAATTGGTTCTTATTTATGATGGTTGCAGTGTCCCGGGGTTGTATGATCTCCTCTTGCAACCTTCTGACAAGTAAAGCCAATGGGGAGGCCAGATTCACTTAACAACCGTGTTGCTAACTTAACAACTGTAGTAATTCACTTAGTCATAAGTGAATGTCAATTAAGTCAAAGTCATAAAATGGGGCAAAACTCACTTAACAACTGTCTTGCTTAACAACAGACATTTTGGGCTCAAGTGTGATTGTAAGTTGAGGATATCTATACTTGGACTATGATAGCTATTCTAAATATAACCCAGATTCACATCATCTTATGTTTCACACCATAGATAGACAATCTCTTGTGATGTGCCCAAAATGTAGCCTATATAGAGAATTTCCTAAAATTCACTATCGAATTATAAAATGTATGTATACACTTTGAGAGCAACTAAATTTCATTTTTAATGTGTGCCATTGACAATAAAGGTTGTCTGTCTGTCTATCTACCGTACTTTCCAGCGTATAAGACGACTTTCGTAAGCGTTAAAATTGGCGCTGAAGTCGGGGGTCGTCTTATACGCCGAGTCGTCTTATACGCTGGAAATAACGGTAGTTTCCGGTGTATAAGATGACTTTCTAGGCATGCAACTCGGCGCCAAAGTCGGGGGTCATCTTATACGCCGGGTCACCTTATACGCCAGAATATGCGGTATCTATCTATCTATCATGTTAATATGACTAAAGGGTGAATATTTTTAAATACTAGGGCTGTGCTATAAATTGAGGCTTTGTTTTTGTTGTGGTCAACTTTTGGCAATCTCTCCAACAGCACATTCTGGGTGCTATCCTGAGTCTTTGGGTTCCAAAAAGCCTGCCAGGTTTGAAATAATCTTTCATGGAGAATAATTCTGAACACCACACAACTCAAATATATATCCAAATTGCTCTCATTTAATGTTTCAGTCATTGCATTAATTCAGTTTAATAAATTAGGCAAATAAATACCTTAATCATTTAATTATGACATTATTGTAGCTTTCATGTCAATATTAACATTATTCCCTTCATATGTATATGAAATTAGAACCTTGATGCCAATTAAATCAAATGTGTAGAGTTTAATGTTCTGATTCCTTTGTAGAACCTCTAGCAGATGTCAGTTCTTTTATTTTTTTTCCCAAGCAGCCCTTACACATTTATCTATAAATATGTCAAGCAACCACAAAGGCATTCTTGACTTAGTCTGTGCCCACTATTGAACTGTTTACTAAATTTATCTCACACATGACTTCCTTTTACCATATACCAGCCTTACCATACCCAGTAAGCAAATCCCAACTCTGTATTTCCATAATTTTACATTTGTGAAACTTTCCATAAGTCAAAGCTCTTCATATTATTATTTTCTCTCAAGAAATGTACAGTGAACTTCCTTTTTCACAAGCATCCATTTCTGAGGGCACTTCTCAAATTTTGGTCATGGTGACCTCTATACTCTTTCAATCAGAATTCTGCCAAGGAGTTTCCCAAGCAAGGCATGCTGGGAAATAATCCGCTTTTTTTGGTACCCATTCTTGCTTCCGTTTCTTAGGGAAGAGGGAACAACATTCTTCCAATAGTTTTAGGCACAAGGACAGTCTTCACACTCCCATTCCACAAGTAGCACAGCCTTTGCACAAGCAAACCACTTCCGTATTTTAACATTTCTCCAGTTACGCCAGCCCCTCTTGCTACAACAGTGGTTCTCAACCTGTGGGTCGGGACCCCATTTGGGGTCGAATGACCATTTCACGGGGGTCGCCAAACAAGGCTGTCCGCCATTTTTTTCTCCTTTTCTTTGGCCATGCCCCTGGCACCCGGTGATATATAAGTGGTTGGGAGATCACCACAACATGGGGAACTGTATTATGGGGTCGCGGCATTAGAAAGGTTAAGAACCACTGTGCTACAACATTACAATTTTACTGCATTCTCCCAGCCATCATACTTTCAGATGTAGTTGCTATCCTTTTCTAGGTGTACATATCAATAGATTTATGCTTAAGTCACTTATTTGAAAGCAGAGATGGGGAACAATGGCCCTTTTACAACCTGTGGACTTCAACTCCCAGAATTCCTGAGCCAGCCATGCTGGCTCAGGAATTCTGGAAGTTGAAGTTCACACGCCTTAAAGGGGCCATAGTTCCCCAGCTTTGCTTGAAAGCAGGAGATAATTTTTCTCTGTAGATGCTCACCAGACAAATAACCATTTTCATCATTGTTGGGTATTGGTCCATTCATTTTTTATGCTCTCTCTCTCATAATATCCTTCTCTAGCTATTTATTTCCCACAGATCTCACTCATTCAGAATATTGCACGTCTGCCACAAACTCATCTCTGTTTCTTTCATGATCACTGTGCATTGAATTGTAATATCCAATTACTATCAATCTATTAATTCTTGTTTCCACATGCACCCACCACAATCTAGATTACATCAATACATATTTCCTGGCACACATTTTAGCCATTTTGTTCATCCTTAAACCTAAATCAGGGGTTTTCAAACATGGCAACTTTAAGACTTGTGGACTTCAATTCCCAGAAATCATTAGTCAGCCTTCCTCACATGGCTAGTTGATGAATTCTGGGAATTGAAGTCCACAAATGCTAGGCTGCATTAACAGAGGGATAGAATCAAGATCAGATGAAGTGTTGATACCACTTTACAATGCCTTGGTAAGGCCACACTTGGAATACTGCATCCAGTTTTGGTCGCCAGGGTGTAAAAAAGATGTTGAGACTCTAGAAAGAGTACAGAGAAGAGCAACTAAAATGATCAGGGGACTGGAGGCTAAAACATATAAGGAACGGTTGCTGGAATTGGGTATGTCTAGTTTAATGAAGAGAAGGACGAGGGGGGACATGATAGCAATGTTCCAATATCTCAAGGGCTGCCACAAAGAAGAGGGAGTCAAGCTATTCTCCAAAGCACCTGAAGGCAGGACAAGAAGCAACAGATGAAACTAACCAAAGACAGAAGCAACCTAGAACTAAGGAGAAATTTCCTGACAGTCAAAACAATGAATCAGTGGAACAATCTGCCTCCAGAAGCTGTGAATGCTCCAACACTGGAAGACTTTAAGAAGAGATTGGACAGCCATTGTCTGAAATGGTATAGGGTTTCCTGCCTGAGCAGGAGGTTGGACTACATGACCTCCAAGGTCCCTTCCATCTTTATTATTATTGTTGTTGATGATGATGTTGTTGTTATTATCATCATCATCATCATGTTTCGTGAAACATTTCCTGATAATGTTAAGGACAAAGCTGATCAATTTTGGCCACTATACTATAACCATGATCATGCTATTCTGTGCAAGCTCAGTCTCTAATCTAGAGGCTACCTTGCCACCACCTACAACTATTATGTTCAGTGGGTTATCATACTCAAGATGTGTCTCCAAAATTCTGATCTCCAAGATGACTTGCCAAGGAATTGTGGTCGAGCACCTTGGCTTAATCTTGATTTCAACTTCCAATTAAGTCATCATTTGTAATCTCCCAAAGGCCATCCTCAGTTCTAGAACATGGATTCCTCTTCTGAAGAAGTTAGATTTCACAACACAAAAGATATAAGCAAAACAGCACTTACCATACAGACATCTTCCACCAAAAATTGAATTCATTGCCAGTGTTATAGGGGAAGGCTTCTGAGAAACAAACAAAAGAGGACAAATGTCAGAAGAAGACTTATGGAAGTGAGGAAGGCTCAGAAGGAACCATAAAGTGCAAATGATAACATGTGGGTCGCAACATCACCCTGCATAGTTTATAACTATGATTATGGTTAGTTGCACAGTTAGATATGTAAACAGGGTTTGGCATTTTTATCCACCTGTCGAGTCCTTCCCAACAACCCAGAATAGACAAATGTTGTTTGATGGTGTTTATAGTATGTTGCAGGATTTCAGCTGTTCCAGCTGCCTTTTGCAGTTGAGTAACAGAGATTGTCAATGCTGATAGTGTTCAAGTGGTACTCCAGTTGTTTTGGCATTGCACCCAAAGCACCAATTAAATGTTTTATACCACAAAGGTATAAAGGATAACAGAGTTGGAAGAGACCCTGGAGGTCTTCTAGTCCAACCCCCTGCTCAGGCAGGAGACCTGTACTATTTCAGAGTACTTAGGTAACATGGGCAGTGTAGACTTTAATAAATAAATAAATTTATATTGATACTATCTTTGTTTTCTTTTGTCACAGTTGTTCTATTTCTATATGCGGGGGGGGGGGGGTTGGGGTTGTCTGTGTGATTTTTCTCCAGTTCTTCCTCTTCTATTATGCTGGGTTTTTAAAATGATTATTATTATTTCACCAACTACAAAAAGCTGGGGCTGATGTCAACACATTTCATCATTTTTTTTTTCCTTCATCGAAATGTGTGCCAGATGCCAATGGATGGACAAATCAGTTTAGGGAAACCTCTCTCCTGTTAGGGATCTCAGTGAAGAATCCAAGAAGTTTCACTTACAACAAAACACACAGTTCTCTGTTTGGAGGTAAAGCACATACGCGGTATTTTAAAAGCTTTAAAGAATTTAAGCAGTAGTGTTACTACAGCAGGCATGTAGGGTCTGCTAGAGTAACACAATCCCCAGAATGGCAACATGCAGGGTCCTCTCCACAAGCTCTAATTTACCACATGTAAGAGACGCAACCACATTGCAACCAGTGTTCCATTCCTCATAAGAGCAAATTCTACCAGTTCTACATCCCTGGTTTCACATACTCTCCGTAAACACAAAAGCCATGTACTGTATCTCCTCATTTGAGAAACCACTTTGGTGTAAGTCAGTGGTTCTCAACCTTTCTAATGCCGCGACCCCATAATACAGTTTCCCATGTTGTGGTGACCCCCAACCACTTATACATCACCGGGTGCCAGGGGCATGGCCAAAGAAAAGGGGGAAAAAATGGCGGACAGCCTTGTTTGGCGACCCCCGTGAAATGGTCGTTCGACCCCAAATGAGGTCCCGACCCACAGGTTGAGAACCACTGGTGTAAGTGGTAAAGGCACCAGATTAGGAATCTGGAGACCATAAGTTCTAGTCCCACTTTAGGCATAAAGCCGGTTGGGTGACCTTTGGTCAGTCCCTCTCTTTCAATCCTAGAAAGGAGGCAGTAGTAAACCACTTCTGAAATCTTGCCAAGAAAACTGCAGGGACTTCTCTAGGCAATTGCCAAGAGTCAACACTGACTCAAAGACACACACAATCACACCTCCCCGTTCACCAAATCTTTCCACCATTTGCCATCATCTGATCTTACTTCTAGCTCCTTCTCGGTTGTTGTCCCACTTGAACTCCGTCAACTTCTAGAACTTCTTTAGACCTTTCTTACCTTCTTCCCCTTATCCCACCGAATCTCCTCTGTGAGTTTTGGGTTCTTTCACCATTCCAGACACTCGAGCGTCTACCTTCAACGGTCCGCCTTCTTTGGGATCTGAGGCATTTCTGCTTCTGGCAGATGAAAGAAAATAAAAAGCTTGCTGAAACTTCTGCTTCCACCAGGAAATACAGACCTACCACACAAACTAGAAGTAGACGAGCAGATGTTTCCACTCAGCCACAAGACTGAACTAAATAGGCCTGAATATGTGTCTTCCTCAAGGAGGGGAAGTTGCAGATTTCATTTTCATAGGTAAAACTTGGCCCCATTCCACTGCATGTTTAACCAGGTCAGTAGAAGGAAGTGATGTAAAGGTATTATGAAACGTCAAGAAGGGGATCTAATGGTCAAGTCAATCAACTTCCAGCAGGTTAGATTTAGCCCCCACCCCAGAAGGAAAACCTAATTCTACTCACCCAGCCATGCCTCTTTAGTTCTCCCAAAAAGCAGAACTGGAAAGAAAGAACAAGGGAAAAACAAACTTCTGCATTATATAATTGTCATTTTTTTAAAAAAAATTATTAAAGTTTTAACATGGTAAAAAATGAGTACAGCTAATCCTCAACTTACAACAGTTCATTTAGTGACCATTCAAAGTTGCAACAGCACTGAGAAAAGTGACTTATGACCATTTTTCACACTTATGATGGTTGTCTATGGAGAGTCTCGGTAATCCAGGCCATAGTTGTCCCAAAGATGCTTTTTCACCAGGCAACTGGAGTTTAAAGTCCAGTTGCCTCATGAAAAAGCATCTTTGGGACTTATGACCATTGTAGCATCCCAATAGTCATGTGATTTACATTATGCTTGACAACTGGCTCACATTTGTGACAGTTGCAGTGTCCCAGAGTCATGTGATCCCCTTTGGATCACATTTATGACAGTTGCAGTGTCCCAGAGTCATGTGATCTTCTGACAAGCAAAGTCAATGGGGAAGCCAGATTCACTTAACATCTGTGTTACTAATTTAACAACTGCAGGGATTCACTTAACAAATAGGGCAAGAAAAGTCGTAAAATGAGGCAAAACTCACTTAACAAATTTCTCACATAACAATTTTGGGCTCAATTGTAGTGATAGTTGAGGACTACCTGTGCAGAAGAATATAAAGAGAAAAGAGAAAATGAAAAAGTAGAGAAGAGGAAACAGTTAAAGAAAGAAAAAAGATAAAAAAGCAACTTCTGCCCTTCTTTAAAAGCACTTGCAAACTAATTATCCCGCCTTCCTCCTTAATATTACAATAACCCTGTCATCCCCTTTTCAATCATCAGAGCCACAAACTACTATTTTAGTTTTTCCCGGGTTCAGAAACAGTCTATAAAAGGTTTACAGTCTTTTATAAAAGTATTTATTTTTAGTGCCTGACAAAACAGGTAAGTTTTTCCATCTCAGCTAGTTCTGTCAGCTTCACAATCCATTCCTCCATTATTTCATTGTTCTTCCATCCTTGTGCATATAATAATCTTGCTGCAATTATCGTATATAAACTCAATCTTCCGTAACTCTCTAATTGGCTATCTATAACTCCCAATAAAAAAAGTTTCATCTTAATAATATTAGTAAATTATAGTTATTAATTATTATCAATCACTAATTATAAATTATAAATAAATTATAAATTACTAATTACTATAATTAGTAATATGCTCTATGTTATATAGTAATCTTCAGTACTCTTTGTAGAATTGCCATAGAATAGAATATCTGTAGTTCAGGGTTAAACTGTGAATTCTCTCTTGGTTATTTGCCTACAGACGTTTCATTATCTGACTAGCTAATTTTATCAGTTCTAGTGTGAGGTTTGCTCTCTCTTTACATACAGTAACTTGTAGCTTCTTTTTCACCAAATGTAATAATTATTTTAATGCCACTGGTTTTTTTTTTCCATTTTGATTGCAAGTACACAGAACTGTGTGTTATCATTCATATTGTTTAATTGCTTACAGCAGTTTATAGGAGTGCTCAGATAAGCAGAAGGGGTCTGCTTTTGACAATAAAATATACAGTATATACACCCAATGCAAAACATCCCAACCAAAGCAGAATTCTCTATGTGGAATGATAAAAACAGATCAGCAACTTTAAGATGTATAGATTTCAGCTTCCAGAATTCTCTAGCCACCAGAGAAGGCCCGTTCTGTATTTCTAATTTGAAAAACATCTAATCTGAAAGACATCTTTCATCCTACCTCAGATTTTGTAACTCTAGTTTGCTTATTCCTGAGGTAGGGATTTCCAAACTTTTTCAGGCAACAAAACCTGTTAAGAAAAAAAAATCAATGGATAAGCCAATCAAGAGGCAATGATCTAGGGATGGCAAATTGGCTATGTTTGAATTGAATGTCTCCCTTAATCTGTCCTGAAAACCCATCACGTTCTCACTGAAAGCTAGGGTAAAGCTAGTCCTCAACTTACGACCACAACTGAACTGAAAGTTTCTGTTGCTAAGTGAATTTTGTCCCATTTTATGACCTTTCTTGCCACAGTTATTAAGTGAATCATTGCAGTTGTTAAGTTAGTGGCACAATTGTTAAGTGAATCTGGCTTCCCCATTGACTTTCCTGCAACGTTTGTAAGCATGAAAACTGGTCATAAGTCACTTTTTTCAGTGCTGTTGTAACTTTGAATAATCACTAAATGAACTGTTGTAAGTCGAGGACTACCTGTTCTACAGAAGACAGCTTGAAAACCCCTGGTCTAGTCCTCTGAATAAGATATACTTTCTGCCAGTGGTTTCAGTTACTATTGCAGGAAGATAGACAGAAAAAGCTTGATTTTTGTAACAGAGCTATATAATAATAATAATAGTAAGTGATTGTCCACTAGGACTCCGAGATCCCTCTCACAGTTACTATTATTGAGCAAGGTACCCCCTATACTATACCTGTGCATTTGGTTTTTCTTGTCTAAATGTAGAACCTTACTTTTTTCACCATTGAATTTCATTTTGTTAGATAGCGCCCAGTGTTCAAGTCTGTCCAGATCCTTCTGTATCTTAAGCCTGTCTTCTGGAGTATTGGCTATTCCTGTCTGCAAATTTGATGAGTTCCCCATCTATACCCTTGTCCAAATCATTGATAAAGATGTTGAAGAGCACTGGGCCCAGAACAGAGCCCTGGGGCACCCCACTACACACTTCCCTCCATGTAGATGTGGTTCCATTGAGGACCACACGCTGAGTATGGCCGGTCAGCCAGCTACGGATCCATCTGGTGGTGGTACTGTCTACCCCACATTTTTCTATCTTGTCAAGTAGTAGGTTGTGATCTACTTTATCAAATGCCTTACTGAAGTCCAAGTAAATTATGTCCACAGCATTCCTCTGATCCAGTAATTTTGTCACTTGGTCAAAGAATGCAGTAAGATTTGTCTGGCATAATCTATTTTTGACAAACCCATGTTGGCTTTTAGTTATGACTTTGTTTGCCTCTAGGTGTTCGCCTCTAGTTATGCATATCTAGGCTAGTGATATATTTAAGTGGTTTGGCAGCTCAACAATTCAACATCTAAGAATTGTTTTATAACCAAATCCACAGCTATAAACTTCTGTTTGATTTCACACCCTGCACCGAGTCCTGGACCGGAAATTTGTCAGTGCTCAAAATTTAACTCAGAAAAATTTCCCCTTCAAGATAGCTTGGCAGTTTCAAACTTATGTGAGATTTGCTTTTTGGATAATTGTTCTTTTAAGAACAATTTTAATAATCTGATTCCAGTGGTTGGGAGAGAGGAGAAGGGAGAGGCAGGCTAGAACCACAGCACAAGAAGGACTTTAAATATATATATTAATATTATATAATATAAAATGAAAATAAAGATGAGAGGAAAAGGGGAAAGGGGAACGAAATAGGTATAGGTACAGTAAAGTATAGAATAGAATTGCAGCCTTTCAACTTTTTATTTTACTGACTTAAACTTTACCAACTTTTATTTTACCAGCTTGAGCCATGGTGATGCAGTGGTTAGAATGCAGTACTGCAGGCTACTTCTGCTGACTCCTGGCTGCCAGCAGTTCGGCAGTTCGATGCTCACCAGCTCAAGGTTGACTCAGCCTTCCATCTTTCCGAGGCTGGTAAAATGAGGACCCAGATTGTTGGGGGCAATATGCTCAGAGAGGACTGTAAAGCACTATGAAACAGTATATAAGTCTAAGTGCTATTGCTATTGTTATGAACAAATGCTAGCCATTTCTATAACAACAAGTGCAAGAAGAATATTGAAGAACTGACTACCAAGAAGAGCAATGAAGATATTGGTACAAGCTGGGCTAAGATATTGAAATCTAGAACAGTAAATGGTGCCTCAATCCCAGACTGTATTAGACAACTGAGCTATCCAGGCACTCAGGGAGAAGGTCCCCAAACAAAGACAAAAGAAATAACTATTCATAAACACTAACTTTGAAGAAGCAGGATAGGAAGAATATTGACATTAATAAATGAGAATATTTGTAGCTCAGGGTTGAAATGAGAGGTCCTTGGTTTTCTCTGAGCTTGCTTGTTTTCTTGCAGATGTTTCATTACCCACACTAAGTAACATCATCATGACTAGCATTGATAATGTTAACTAGTTTTAGGTAATGAAACATCTGCAAGAAAACAAGCAAGCTCAAAGAAAACCAAGGACCAAGTATTGACACTTTTGAACTTTGTGTTGGAGAAGACTCTTCAGAATAGCATGGACAGCCAAGAAAACAAACTAATGGATCCTCAAACAATTGAAGCCAGAGTTCTCACTTGAGGCACATATGACTAGGCTCAAATTATTCTACTTTGGACACATTATGCAAAGACCCAGCTCTGAGGAAAAGGCTGTAATGTTAGGATAGGTGGAAGGAAAGAAGAAGAAGAAGAAGAAGAAGAAGAAGAAGAAGAAGAAGAAGAAGAAGAAGAAGAAGAAGAAGAAGAAGAAGAAGAAGAAGAAGAGGAGGAGGAGGAGGAGGAGGATGAGGAGGAGGAGGAGGAGGAGGAGGAGGAGGAGGAGGAGGAGGAGGAGGAGGAGGAGGAGTAGAAGGAGAAGAAGAAGAAGAAGAAGAAGAAGAAGAAGAAGAAGAAGAAGAAGAAGAAGAAGAAGAAGAAGAAGAAGAAGAAGAAGAAGAAGAAGAAGAAGAAGAAGAAGAAGAAGAAGAAGAAGAAGAAGAAGAAGAAGAAGAAGAAGAAGAAGAAGAAGAATAAGAAGAAGAAGAAGAAGAAGAAGAAGAAGAAGAAGAAGAGCAGCAGCAGCAGCAAAACAACCATGGCCTTTTCAGAACATTCAGAATCTACTTCAGAATCACTTCAGAAGGTCAGTCCTCCTAAGGCAAAATTTCTGCCTCATGAACATCTGGAGGAGAGAGAAAATGCTCTCAATCTTTCATATCCTTCTGTGGGACATAGTAGAGTGGAGGGGAA